CCCTAGGTGAGGATTCCCGCCAAATGAGGGAGTAGGTCGCGGAGGCGACCTACCGTAACATCCGTAACATGACCTACCGTAACAAGTTTCTCATAAGGCAAGGCAAATCGATGACAGTCCTGTGGACTAATGATTCACCTCCAGAATAAATACGTGAATAAGTTTGTTAGTTTTGGATGTGTAATGTTTTTCATTAAAAGACAAAAAACGGCGAAATCAATCCATCCATCCCACAGTTTTGACATATGTGCCCTCTCATAGCCTCAATTTTTTTGTTCATAGTTGTTATCCCTTCGTAGATACGACTACGAAGAGTAATATGTGGAAGAGGAAATTTGAAGAAAAATCCTATTAAAGGAAATGTGACGTCTTTTTCATTGGTGGTTTCGCCAGCTCTGCTTAGGGTTCAGACGTTGCCCATCTATGGCTCGTGCTAAGTCTAATTCCAGCGCAGAACTGCTCTAGCACCTTTTGGTCCATAACTTTGTGGTACTGCGCATATTATGCTTCATCAGTGATTTTGTTTTAGTTGTCAAAGCACCTCGTTTGTTTATAGCATTGACGAGAGCAATATCACAGCGGAGCGGATATTTTCAGTTTGCATAGCATTCCGTTGTTGAGCCAATTTTTATTCTTTAGGGCAACAATGGATAGCAATGGTTTGCCTCCATCCGCGTTTCATACTCGACTTTCTTGATGTTTTGAGTTGTTATCTCTGATTTTCGTCTCAAACTCAACAGCTCATGTACATAGACAATAGTTGCCATTTGAAGGATGTAGCGCTGCTGAGTGTGGAATTGTTGTCTGGCTTTCTGCCTTGCGGCTGGATTCTGGTCTTGGCTATATGTAGCCTGGAGCTTCGCTTTGTTGCATTTCGGCATCTAACACGCTTTATTCCCATTAACACACGCACATTCCATTCCAAAATTGTGCTTGTGGAAATTCCCTAGAATAAAAATATTTTTATGAGCTTCTGTTTGTTCTGCTCATGGTGGTAGTGTTCACTCGAATGGTAGCGCTTGAGGTGAACTGAATAGGTTGCTTTCCTTATGGAATCAGGACTAGAGGAACAACCGTAGTCCGTAATGATCGTATGGTAATATGAGATTCTCGATAGTCAGTGATATGTCTAGGAGGTGGTGTAGTGGTGCATTATCACACGCATTTTCTGGGGATCGACTCTCGAATCGACACTTGCCCAGGTGCCCAGAAGCATCCCCCAAAATCAGTCAGTGTCAGACTTGTTTGGGAGGACAAGGGTGTTGACTCGAATGTCAACTGGCTCTCACAACTTATTGTGAACGCCACATGCGCACTTACGCATTCAATCGCCACTACGATTGTGGATGGGAGTGGAATGCATGGACACATTCCATAACGGAATAGGAAAATACCAAAAGGTCAAGGCTCCAGAAGAGATGCGAATGCATTTTCTTGAGTAAAAAAATAGCCCTAAAGAGTAGGAAAACTGCAAAATTTATGCCCAAGTAGGGATGATCAAGTTTTTTCGGAACCCTACTTAATAGGGTGAAAATGGTTTTCCTAATCTCTCGAGTAAACTATTATGAATGGTGCTGCGAGAAGCGTCCTGGAAAATTTAAATGTCTTCCTCGAAACACGTTAAAAGAAACCGAATGGTACCTATGGTTACACTCTCCCGGCTTGACTATAGGGAAATTGCAACGGATGACTAAAGGTAGATTTCGTTAAAAAACAATTTTTTGGAAAAACATTTAACTGAGGTGTACTAAAGATTGCGTCACTTTTAGCTTTGATTACGTGACCACATCGTCATCCCCGTATTCACCAAGATGCTACAAAACCTTCAGAAATCACTAGAATGCAAACAACGGCTCTCTGTGTTATCACAGTGTCGCTGAGTCGTAAGGAGAACGGCAGGGTGGTCGACCATGCACAAAATGCTTGCACTTCCTTTAGCTTTTCTGGGTTTTCTGCGAGGTTTGGTTTGGTATTTTCAGATTTAGCCACTATAGCAATCAGAATTGATTTACATAGTATAGAACAGCTTTTCTGGCACAGTCCTTTAGTTTTCGGGAACAAATTGTTCCGGAAGATTTGAAGGTTCAGTTTTACATCAGGACATGCAGTTTTATACTCGTGATTGCAATATATCTGTGAAGTACGTCAGTTGCTTCGATTGCTATTTACAAATAGAGTTGTTAGAAGACTTTACCTCATATATCCTACTTTTCATTTTGCTTATTCCTACCTTGTTATGGACTTTTTGAATAAGAGCAACTGTTTTCTCAAACTATCTTGGATTTATGGAGAAAAATGAGTAAGAGTCTCAATTGGAGGGGAAGCTGTTTACTTTTCGGAAGCAACAGTCTCGAGCTAGGTGGCTGGCTGTGTTTCTGAAAGAAGGATTCCACAGAATGATTTCACTCGAGTTGAAAAGCCTTATAGAGAGAAATTTTGGGTTTTACAGGCTGGAAGCACGACTGAAGCACAGAATAAGTCAAGGGGAAAATTCTGAGTCCATACTAATGTATTTATCACAGTGATTTTGACGGGTTACTTCGCTAGGTCATAACAACGTCAGAATTCAGCTCTTGTTTTTTTCAGGTTGCTGAGCAGTTTTTGACTTTTAAGAAAATGTTCTTTAGGCGTATATCAACTCATAGAGGGGAGAAGAAAGAGTTTTTTGTCTGTTGCGATCGTTACGGTAGCTTTCCTCACTCATTTTGTCATTACCGTAACCGTTTTTTGGGGACACGGGTAACCGTGGTATCCATGCCCCCCAAAGAAAACCGTTTTTCTGTAAATTTTTGATACTCAGCTTTTGATACAGTCATTTTTCGGAATTTCCGCGTCCTGTATATTTTTTGAACATCTCAGAAGACAAGTTGTGCTAAACTTCTATGTCGAAGTATGATAGCATCAACAAAGGGTGGCTGTTTCCAACAATCCTTTTTTATCAGGATTTGGATCCGCATTGAAAGAGTACCTGCGTCAATTCAATGTAAAATACCTCGGATAGTCTCATCGCCCAAAGCGACATGCATTCCTCTTCTTCTTTGGACGAGTTACCGGGAAAAGTGATCACTCTGTTCATCACATCTAAATTTGGGATGGAGGTATCCCGATTCATGTGTTGGTAATGGATCGCTGGTCAGCGCCAGCTCCAGTACCACCGGCCCTTACCCTTTATTGCTTTCTGCTGTTTTTTTTTTCATAGCTCTAGCACCCGGTCAAGTAGCGGCTGTCGACTTACTTCCCTACTAGGTTGTTGGTGCGCAAGACTGAATGGATGGGAACCTGAAGCTTTCTTAACTAGTGATTATTATAGTTTTGAGAAGATTTGGTACAAATAAAGGTTACATACAACAAAGTGTTAGCAAAAACGTTTCTTCATTAAGGTACGATTGAACGAGAATGGTGAGCCGATTCTGGTCGAGCAGAAAAAGCGAGAGGAAAAAGTTACGACTGTAGAGAGGCCGGTCAGTTCTCAGTTTTTACTACTCGCTAATTTTTATAGCGCTCTGTATTCCTTCTACAGTAGTTTGACCAAAACATAGCTGTTTAGTTGATGCCATTCAAATGGACATTGCCGGCGGATGTCGGTGGTTTTGTGAGTCCCCAGACAGTACGCTTCACAATCACTCCGTTTGTGAGTGCCAAACGCTTCACTTGCAACCTGTTGGCTGGAGGAGAACATTTCTTCCATTTTCGAGTCGATTTTCCTAATACTGCTGAGAAATGGGCTAAGGTGAGCGGATTTTTCTGTAAAGGAAATAAGGATAAATTGATCGACTCGAATCTGGCATGTCCAAGCGAGGCCAACGCGCTCGGTGAGCTTCATTTGACGCATTCGGTGGTATGTACCGACCCATACGCTCTAACAAAGAATCAAAATGATGACACGAAGCACTAAGATGAGCTGAGTTTGTAGTGAAATAAATAGAGCTCCTTGTATTTCAACTGTAAACCCTGTGTACTCGTTCATTTTACTGATTCTATAAAGAAAATTCGTAGTCCCATACGAGCTCTGCAGAGCCTGAACTAATCTCCTTTTTCTACTAAGTCTGTTGAAAGTCTATTGTGGGATTCCGGATCGATATCCGTCCAGGCCAACCAGGCCTTTCATCTCTCCAGGTCGGTCAATTGATAATGGACTCGTTTGGGACGATAAAAGTACTGACTTGTACATCGGCAGGACACCCGAAGTCATTGTACAGGTCAAATACGCATTGAATACGCCGCTACAATTCTGAATGGAAGTCGAACACGTGGGCGCATCCCTCAGACGGGATTGTTTAACTCCCCGAGACTTTATTCTTTTATCCTTAAAGGCACTGTTCACGAAAAAATGGTTTCGGAGATCTGCACATGGTTTGAATTCGACGCCCCCTCGGATACCATTTGTGCAGGAATGAGGTCGGAAAACGGTCTGGATAGGGCACAATGAGGGCAGGAAAAGTGGGGGACGGGAGGCCTCCGCCCCTCGCTAGGCTGACTACGAG